ACTGCTCCTGTGGAGGCAGAGGAGACTGCTCCTGTGGAGGCAGAGGAGATTGCTCCTGTGGAGGCAGAGGAGACTGCTCCTGTGGAGGCAGAGGAGACTGCTCCTGTGGAGGCAGAGGAGACTGCTCCTGTGGAGACTGCTGCTGAGGAGACAGTCCACGTGGAGACGCTCGGTCTTGGTCGGAAAGATCTGGGTTTGCCGGAAGTGTGTCTCAAGTCGTTGCCCGGTCGCCAGGATGAGCAGAGCGACCTCGATTGCCTAGATGGCCAAGATGAGGCAAACGGCGATGTTGACCAAGATGGCCGAGAGGACCGAGAAGAGGGGCGTATCCGCCAAGTTGTCCGCACCGAACAGGTTGAGCAAGAGGGCGGTGAGTGCCCGGTTGATGAACGTCATCCTTATGACTCTACGTCTGGGAGGGGCGACCTGAGCAGTCGTGCGTCCACAGCGAGAAGTCCCGCTTTACGTGAAGACGTCTGCAAGCCGTTTTCGTCGGAATTGTGCGGCCTCCGGATTGGGGCCGGCGACCTACGGATTCGGACCCGTGGCGACAGCGATGTCAGCCTAATTGGAGAATTGCGTTGCCGAGAAGGCGAAGCCGAGCAGTCAGAAGCAGACGAGCCCGGAACAAACCATCTGGGGACCGAGGGGAGTGGACCCGAGGGGAGTGTCGCGGAGCGTTGTGAGAATGGCTTGTCGTCAGTTGCGATAATTTCTAGTCTAGGTGAACCTGGCCAGGGTGACGCTTGCCCCGTGGAGTTTGACCTGGGGGAGGCGGCCCAGAATAAGGCGGATATGCGCGGGCGTTTGTGTCTGGCTGAGTGTGTGCCATCAGTGACTTGTTCGGCAGAGTCTTCAACAACTGGCCCGACGGTTTTTTTGGCGTCGGCACCATCGCGGTTGGTAGATCGGGATGAGTCATATTTGGAGGCAGAGGAGATCTGGGACACGGCGGAGCGATTGTGCCAGAGTATGAATGACATGGATCACCGCCGAATTCTGCGCCAGATCCAGACGGAGTGTCTGGAGGCTCAGAAACACCACTTCTATAAAGACCTTACGGGCCACCTGATCGTGCACGACGAATTGGATCATCATTACACAACTATTAACCCACACCTTACACCGCGTGAAGAACTCGATGTGGAGGGCGCTGAGGAGGAAGACCTTCTACATGGATGCTGCGATACTGATGATAATGAAAACGAATATGGCAACGACGACGACGACGGACTTGTTATGGTGGTCCAGGCGCTGGAAGAACAGACCACTACCGCCGGACCTGACCAGGCCGCTCAGAACCCAGATTCAACGTCTGAACCCGAACCGAGCGTACAGCCCGAAGGCACCTTCGCGACGGAGCGGGCATCTGAACCTTTATCTGGACCTCTCGAACCGGAGCCTGTGCTGGGACTTGGACCAGCAACGGAATTCGGGACGGAGCGGGCATCTGAACCGAAACAACAGCCTGTGCAACATCCGGTTCAGGGGCTTGAACTAAACCCGGAGCAGGAAGCTGTCCAAGAACCTGAGCAAGACCCTCTCCAAGAGCATCAGCCTGAGTCTGAGCACGAGCTGGTACAAGAGCTGGAGCTGCAGCAAAGGCATGAGCCCGAGTCAGAGCACGACCGTGTGCAAGAGCTTGCGCAAGAGCCTGTGCTAGAGCACGATGAACCTGAGCCTGAGCACGAGCCTGAGCACGAGCATGAGCCTGAGCACGAGCACGAGCAAGAGCTGGAGCCAGAGCCTCTGCCGGAGCACGAGCCGGTACAAGAGCATAAGCTGGAGCTGGAGCAAGAGCATGAGCCCTGGTCTGAGCACGAGCGTGTGCCAGAGCTTGCGCAAGAGCCTGTGCTAGAGCATGATGAACTTGAGCACGAGCTTGAGCACGAGCTTGACCACGAGCTTGACCACGAGCTTAAACACGAGCTTGAGCACGAGCCTGAGCACGAGCCTGAGCACGAGCCTGAGCACGAGCCTGAGCACGAGCCGGTACAAGATCATGAGCTGGAGCTGGAGGAAGAGCATGAGCCCGGGCCTGAGCACGACCGTGTGCGAGAGCTTGCGCAAGAGCATGTGCTAGAGCATGATGAACCTGAGCTTGAGCACGAGCTTGAGCACGAGCTTGAGCACGAACCTGAGCACGAACCTGCGCACGAACCTGAGCCCGAGCCTGAGCACGAACCTGAGCACGAACCTGCGCACGAACCTGAGCACGAGCCTGAGCCCGAGCCTGAGCACGTGCCTGAGCACGAGCCTGAGCACGGGCCTGAGCCCGAGACGGTGCAAGAGCATGAGCCTCTACCTGAGCACGAGCACGAGCAAGAGCCTGTACACGAACATGAGCCTGAGGTTTCCTCCGACCGTGAGGCTAGCCCGCGTCCTGAGCCAAGCCTTGTTCCTGAGCTTAGTGGTTCTCCCGAGTCTTCCCCTAGGCCTTTCCCCGAGTCTGAATCCGGACTGGAATCTGGACTTGAATCCGGACGCTCTGAGTCGAGATCTAACTTGGGAGAGGCTTTGCTGAGAGAGGCTTCGCTGGGAGAGGCTTCGCTGGGAGAGGCTTCGCTGGGAGAGGCTTCGCTGGGCGAGGCTTCGCTGGGAGAGGCTTCGCTGGGAGAGGCTTCGCTGGGAGAGGCTTCGCCGGGAAAGGCTTCGCCGGGAGAGGCTTCGCCGGGAGAGGCTTCGCTGCGAGAGCCTTCTCTGGGAGAGGCTTCGCCGGGAAAGGCTTCGCTGGGGGAGGCTTCGCTGGGAGAGGCTTCGCCGGGGGAGCAATTTGGGTATGCGGTGGAGTACGCGCAGCCTGTGTCGCTGGTCTACACGGATCCGTTCGCGAGTGGGTTGATGAGCGGTTCGGACTGGTCGGAGGGATCAAACCTACGGCTGCCGGATACGGACTGCGATTCGTACCACCGTCTGGACCACTCAGCCATCCATCCGCCGCACGTGGTGCTCGCGAGGAACGACTCGGATGAAGATGCAGACGAAGACGACTCCGTGGACCTGCTCCTTAAGTCCGTCGACTACACCACGCAGCCGGACGATGAATACGAACCAGGCAGCGATCAGGGTGCCCCGGGCACGTTTTCGGGCGCTCACGGAGGCCTACAAGACGGGCTTGAGACTCCGCGCGCCGATGAAAGAGACCTGCTTGATACACCGCCGGAGGCCGCCGAAAGCCAAGCAGGAAGCGAGGCAGCGGAAAGCGAAGTAAACACCAGAGACCTGCTGGGTGGTGACGTAGAAGAGGGCGACAGGGAGGAGGGCGACGGGGCGGAGGGCGACGGCACTACGGAAGAAGTTTTGAATGCGGACGGAGCGAAGAATGCGGACGCAATGGCGAGTGAGGACGCGTCGTGTGGTGATGAATGCTGCGGAAGTGGTTTGGATGACGATGAGGACGATGAGGAGGGTGAGGGCCCTATGACCGACGCGCGTGGTTCGTCGGTCGACAGAGAAAATCCGAAAGGTGTCCAGGGCAGCCCCGAGGGAGGCAATCCCGAAGGCCGTGAAAACAAGGAGGCAGGCAACGAGCCGGGTAGCGTAGGCAGGCAGGAGCAAAGTTCGGGCGGGCTTAAGACCGAGGAGGATGAGATGTCGTCGGACCTTTTGTCGCTGGCGTCGTCTACGCCGGGGCTGGCCGGAGCCGTAGCGCGTTTGCATCGAGAAGGTTCGGAGGAGGCGCAGGGATCAAGCCTGCGGGCGCCGCATACGAACTCGTACCAACGTCTGGACCACTCGGCCATCCTCCCGCCGCACGTGGTGCTGGCGAGGAACGGCTCGGAGGAGGCGGAAGACGGAATCTCGACCCCGAAGGCGCACCTCGAGATGTCGCGACACAACGACCGCGTCAGTGTCGTCATCTCGACCGAAGTGAGTCCGCGCACGGCCGCCGAGCTCGCTGCTTCCACCGGCGAACGAGTTAGCCTCTTCGTTACCAAAGTCGCCGCTTCTTCTTGGATCAGCCAGTGGCCACTGGATAACGCTGGCCGACCCAAACTACCCGCCCAAATAATCGTTAAAAGGGCTCTCGATAAAGCCACCTCGCACTGAAAGAAAGACCTGGCGTAAACCGCCAGATCTGTGCCCTGATAATGCAATGATTAAATTGATTTAATTGTCAATGATTTAACGATTGATTTAACGACGGACGGCAAACTAGCTCCCGCCACGGTGAGGGACAGGGAGCCGGTCGACATGAATTGAGGATCTGCCGGCACGCACCGGCAGCATTTTATGAATAGTGGTTCGAACGAACGCATGATTTGATATGACCGATGTAACATAAAATAGACGCTTTAAGCCAATGGTGGGTACGTAACCTTAGGTGTCTTGTTGTCTGCAGCGGAGCGAGTAGGCGCGATACATGTCCATGACCTCGCGGCCCCAGCAGTTGCGTATGGGGAGTCCGTCTGGGCGGAAGACGGAGCACCTGGGGAGTGGGTCTCTGTACTCTTTTTTGCCTGCCGCTCCGTCGGTGCGTGTGCCGTCTAGGCGGGCAGGGGCGGTCTCAGTCCAGCACCAATCGACCCCTTCGCGAGTTGGCACTCCGGTTACCATGCCGAGGTTGTAGTTCTGCGCACGACGCAGCCCGGCCTGCGCAGGCGGGGACAGTCGCGCTGCCGGGACCTGCGGCTGCGGCGCACTCGCCACCGCCGGCAACTCGCGCAACGCCTCCTGCACACGCTGCGGCTCCCGTCGCCACGCCGCACACGAAGACTTCACCGCGCGCAACGACCCACTCGGCGACGGCCCAGTCGACACCGGCCGCACAGGCCCCGACACTGCCCGCTGCCAGTCGGGGGTCGCACGCCGCGGCCACGGACTTCCCGCAGAACTCACACCAGACTCGCGGTAACTGCAACCCCCACCAGCCCAACCATGACCGTGCCCCCCACCTCCCCCGAACAAATACGGATCCGGCGGAAACGGATCCAAATCCGCCACCCGGTATGGGTCCGCCAAACAATACGGGTCCACCGAACGGTACGGGTCCCGTCCACTATACACATCCCCCGCGCTGTACGGATCCCCCCTGTACGGATCTCCGGCACTGGCGCTGTACGGATCGACCCGACTGTACGCACTACTCTCACCGTACCTGTCAACAGCAAAGGACGAGTCGGCGGCCCTGGAGGGCTCAGCCGTGAGACGGTAGCCACCGGTGTCCGTCTTACCGGGACAAGCGTAGCTCTCGACAGCCTCTGCGCGACGCACCGACGCCCAGGGCAGCCGGTGGCTCGGCGCGCCGGATCCGGGGTTGCGGACCCGCTTGCCTGGCAGCGTCCCTTCGGTCGAGAGCCCGGGCGCCGTGTCGCCGCTACGGGGTGGCCGGGGCGGCTTGCACGCCCGGCTGTTTGCGGTAGGCGCTGCGGAGGAGCCGCTCGTCTCCCCTTTGGCGCTGCCCCCCCTGGAAATGTTCGTCTTGGAGCCAAGACCCCTCGTGGAGTTGCTACCCTTGGAGAGCGCCGTCCCCCTGGACTCCGTCGTCGCCCTGGACTGCGCCGCCCCCCTGGATTGCGTCGCCCCCCGGGAGAGAGGTTCGGGGCGGTCGGGGGTGCCCGAGGAGGAGAGCGGCGAGCCGGCCCGGGCGCTTTCTTCAGACGAGAGACCCCGGGCCCCACCCCGGTCCAGGACCGGCCGTGCCGCGACTAGTCGTCCGGCGACTAGTCGTCCAGCGACCAGGCGTCCCTCAGGTCGTACCTCTACTCGTCCCTCAGGCCGTCCTTCGGGTCGTCCCTCGGGTCGCGGGTTGCCCTTCCGCGTTCGGGGGCGCATGTGTGAGTGTGCATGCTCAGCAAGGAGCGTCGCCTGGCCATCGGAGTCGGAGTCGCCGCGTGTGTCGGCGGCCGTGGTGCTGAGGTACGTCTTGGGTGCGTCAAAAGGCGCTTCATAGTGCCGGAAAATCGGCAGCCGGAAGTCCTCCTCGTCGGAAGCAGAGGAAACCTTGGAAGAAGACATGCAAGGAGCCTTTTCCGCCCTCTTGGGACACGTGAACTTAGACCGCGGCGGCCGCCGGCGCCCCGACCAAACCGGCGCAGGTCGCGGCAGAGGCGGCAACGCCGGACTGCCGTCTACCGGCCCCATTAACCCCCACACCCGTCCGTCCCGACTCGGGCTCCCGGGACTGGACTGAGACAAACTCTCTTTCCGCACCGCAGGGCTGACGGCGGCCGGACGGGGGTCTGATGGCAGGGACCCCGGCGACCAAGTGCGACCAGCGGAACAAGTGGGGCCAGTAGGACCACGGGGAGAGCACGGCTGGCCGGCGGAAGAGGACGGCTGGCCGGCGGAAGAGGACGGCTGGCCGGCGGAAGAGGACGGCTGGCCTGCCGCTGCGTAAGTCGACGCCCGCCGAGGCGGTTCGGGACTCGCCACTGCGGCGGGCGGCGCCGCTGTGACCGGACTGGCGCCGGCCGAGGGTTCGGCCGAGGGTTCGGCCGACGCCGACGGCAGTCCTTCGTACGTGCGGCCGAAGCACTCCTCTGTCCCGGAGGAGCCGGATGACTCCGAAGACTCGGAGATCTCCGAAGACTGAAAGGATTCAGATTCTGGGCCGGGCACGCCCTGCTCCGACGCGAGGTTTGCGCTTTCGGTCAGCCGGATTTCCGTCAGACCCGTCTCAGTCCCCGTGGTGTATTTCTCTCCCTCTATCTGGCCATTGTCGAACTGGTCTGCAACCGCCCCGTCTGGGGACCTCAAGGAGGACAGGATGGAGGGCAGATGCCGGGACGGCAGATGCTCGGTGGGCAGATGCCGGGTGACTGGCGTAAGGGTCTCGGCACTGGGTGTGACGGGTAAGTTTGCGAGCGACCGGTGTCTGAGCGGAGCGCGGTAGCCGGTGGCAGGTTGTACCGCTGACGGGGCGTTGCTCGACTCTGAACAGGTCTCGCCCATGGCGGCGATTGGGAGGAGAGGCACCGCAGCAACGGAGAGGGGTGACAGAGGGGTAGTCGGCAGGGACCGTCGCCCCTCGGATTCTTCCTCTTGGGGCAGGGACCAGCTGGCGCATATGTCGGAGTCGGCAGGCAGGGACGTCTCGGGCACGATCCGAGTGGGAACAATGAAGGACTGGAGAACGAGTGCTTGGTCGCGGCTTTTGTTGCTTACTCGCTGGGGAAGTTTCTCCCGCCCGAAGGCATGTCGGGTGGCTGCAGACGGATTAGGACAGAACTCTGTCTCCGGTGGGCGGTTCTCATTAGACATGGCTCTCAATTCGCTAGGGACCGAGGGGGGGTCAGAGAAGGACGTATCAGACAACCGCGCATTGGGGGGGACACGGCTGAGGATCGAGCCTTTCGGTTTGAGCGACCCCGATTTCTGGAAGAAGGGCGGCGGGCCGGCTGAACGACTGAGGACCGTTTCCCCAGAAGAATGTTCCATCACGAATGCTGAATTCGACCCGAATGGTGATAGGCAGGGAGCGGCTGAAGATCCTCCAACGAAAGTGGTTGGAGGTTGTTGTCTCGAGCTGTCGATCCAGTTCCAGGTGGTGGGGAGATGAATAGCGTCAGGTTCGTCCGTTCGGCTGTTTCCCGTCCGGCTGTTATCGAACATGGGTAGCTGGGCAGCCAGGCTTCGGGATGCGAGGCGCAAAGTCGAGAGACTACAGGCTTCTGGGTCAGGGAGTGGTGCAGCGCAGCGTTTCGGTCGACACTGAGCTACCGAAACTGGCTCCGCGTGGCGATGGTGTTCGGCTGCGCCATAAAGTTCAGTAGCCTGATAAAATTCGGTGCTGGGGTCGAGCTCCGTAGCCCGGTTGTCAAAAGGCGGGAAAGACATCGTTTCCTGCGAACTGTCGCTGGTCATGAGCTGCATAATGGGGCTATGCGCTGGTTGGGGTGTTTTGCGACGTGTAGAGTACTGTCGCGGACGACGTCGATCCGGTGTTAAGGTTCTCTTGAGCACATCCACCACATAGCTCCAGGTCATTGAACCAGGTGCAGTGAGCGAACATAGCCACCAAACGACCAGTCAGCCTCGTCTCAGCCACGCCACGAGGTTTTGCTGGCTCGAATTGGGGCCAGGAAGTCGGGGTACGATTTAATACCGAATTTTGAAGTGTCTGCACAGGATAATGCTCGCGCACACACGTGTGTGCCCGTTCAAAACTCGGTCTACAGAATTTTTAAGCACTGAATTTAAGCGATCATGGAGAGCAAACTTGTGGCCAGTGATGGGAAGACCTACATTAATGTTATCCCTAGCAAGTGCATGATTAGCGGTTTTGGCAGCACTGACAGAGCCGACTGGGAAGTACTTTACGTGCCTCACAAGACGAAGAACCATGAGCGATGGGGCCTGCCTCTGATGTTCCCTAACTTTAGCTCTGTTGCTAATGATACCTTTACTGAACTCGGAATTCATTTGCCCAAGCATGGCCTCGTTACTGACAAAGAGTGGAAGGAGATTGCGCGCACTGACACCTCGATTACTGTTATGTTCGAGGATAACGAAGAACTTCTGAAGCAGTTCCCGTTCAAATTCCGCTTGGAAGTAACGTTCGAAGTAAAACCTAAAGTTTGCGTTCACCGCTACGTGATCAAGAACACCGGAGATAAGGTGTTACCTTGTTCTCCTGGCATCCACCCGTACTTTTCAGTTCCCCAAAAGGAGAAGACTAATGTAAAGATCAACACCAAGGAATTCGACTGCAAGTCGTACAACTGGGAGAACGAGAACCCTGATGACAATATCCCTTTCACCGGCCATCTTGAGATAGTTGTGCCCACCAAAGGAACTATTAATCTCAGGGAGGTGTCCGAGCCTACAAAGCTGTTTGGCAGGATGCAGATCTGGTCGGAAAAATCAGATGCCCCGGACCATGAGTTCATATGCTTCGAACCTGTCAGACTGGGTGCCAATGGGCTCAACAACAAGGAGGGAAGACTGAACATTGAGCCTGGTAAGCAGGTGGAGATCGTTCATGAAATAGAAGCAAGTTTTTAGTTGTTTCTATTTCTAGCTATTTTTCTTAAGTAAGAATTTTTTAGTCACTGAAATAAAATTCATTGCCAGGCTGTTATCACAGGGAGCAGAGCGACTGGCTTCTGCTGGTCTGTGGCGTTTGCTGAAAGACACCAGTTCTAGATGTCAGTTCTAGATGTCAGTTCTAGATGCCGGTAGCTGATGTTAAGCCGATGGCGGGGGGGGGGGGTCCTCCGGCAGGCGAAACAGGTTTTTTGCCTGGGGTCTATGGCAGTTTTATATTCAAAAAGAGGGCGGAATATTCCTTCGTTCATTGGGTGGAATGGCTCGTTCTTCCACCGTTCACCACTTTTAAGTTTCAACGCCGATGCTTCTGTGAGTGTATTTAAGACCGAGGTAGGCGAGAACTCTGAATGCGCATCCGAGTGCGATAAGTATGCCGATACATTTCCAGATGGATGTTTCTCCAACACCGATTAGGGCGAGGTTGAACGAGTTGGGTACGCCCCAGTAGTTTTCCCCGTGTGGGAATTGATTGAGTATCAGGGCGAAGAATCCCCAGCGGTAGAAGGAGATGTACTTGAGCCAGTTCATAGAGGTGGGTATCGCGCTGTCTCGTACGAAGAAGCCGGAGCAGCAAATGAGTACAACTAGACAGAGGGGTGCGGCAATAACGGCGACTTCCATGGAAGGTGAGATGGATGAGAGGAAGTAGCTGAAGGCATAGGCGGTGGTGCAGAGGACTAGACACACAAGAAGGTATCGGGCAAACCAGAGACCACCCGGACCCTTATCAAGGTCTACGATAAGGTAGAAAGAGGTGACCAGACAGAAGGCAGGTACAAGGTGGAAGAAGAAATCACCTATAGTGCGACCCAAGAAATAAGCAGATGCCTTGTACGTATTGTTCATCAGCTCTCGGTTTATCAGTGGGCGGTCTTCACACAAACCTGTAAGTCCGTCGTATGCGCCAAAACCGAGACTGGCGACGGAGAAGAAGAGGGCACCGGCTACGTTCAGTACAGCCCCCACAACGGCCGCGTAGTCTAGCGCACTTGTGCCTGTGCTTTCAGCGTTAAGTCCTTCCACGATTTTACGACACACCGGGTGGGTGCACTCGGCCAATGCCTCTTTGTAGTCCTCCCAGGCGTCAATCAGCCCGGCGACAGAGCCAGGCAACACGGAACTGAGGTCAATACCACCACCCATAAGACCCGAAATCTGCAGTCGTCGTCGTCTGCCCTTGGTGTCTGCGTCTGCAATAGTATCTCTTAACCTGGCTAATTGTTCCGATGAAATCCGCAGACTACCCTTCCCGGTTGGCTTGTCCGGGATTTCAGTTGGATATCGGACCCCGCCCGCGTTATTTGGAAGGTAGGTGTCGTCTGGACCAAATACATCCACGCCCGCCAAGTCCAACTTGGCTGAACACGGTGCCATAATATTCGTAGGTTGTTCGGGAATTTCGGTACACTCAGAGGCGGCGTCCAGGAACGCACCTATTTCGCTGTGACAACCGAAGCAGGCGATGTATGAATCCGGGTAGTTATTATAGCATACCGCATGTGCCTGACGCCAAGGGAGGTTGTAAAATAAGTAGTCAGCAAATTGCAGCGTCTGGAGGACCGAGGAGACGATCGCTGGTGGATTGTACTCACCAATCACGAATTTGTTCCCACTCTTCAGCCCCTGGAAACCTTCACCTGTACCGCTCCAGTACTTGTAGTAATCGGTGAAGTCGGTCTCGCCATAAATATCCGTCATCTGACCCAGCTGTAAACGACTGTGCGCACAAGGCATCATATTTGCCAATCGATACATAACCGTGGAGTTGAACAAAGTCTGAAACGGGTCGCTGCCTTTCCCATCAACACCATCCACAATGACATCGATGAACGGGTTCGTACCCTGTCCATCTACACCTTCCGTCAGGAACCGGACGGGAGCACTTTCCATCAACTTCATCATTGGTGAATTCGCATCGCCCACATACATCGGCTTCTGATCCGGCAAAAACTTATACGGCAAACGGAAGAAGATAAAGCCAAGGAACATACCCATTGCCAACTGCACCACAATTGACATAAGGAAAGCAATTGGATTATTCCATGAATTACGGAATGTGCGGAATGCGACGCCATACACCTGCATCAAGTAACGCAGCACACAGTTCCTCTTCGGCTTCTCCACGTTTATCGGCTGCTTCTGAGCTACCGACTCATCGATGTCCTCCTGCACTCGTCGGAAATATTGGCTCTCCTCGTACAGGTCAGCAGCCCGCTCACAAATCGCCTGGCCGTGCTTGCCCTCCAGCGACAACCGGCTTACGCTCCGACGCGACGCTTCGCGTCGCGAGGTTTCGCTCTGGGATTCCGACCCCTCGTAGGACTCGTAGTACGAGGCCGCTGAGACGGACCCAGCTTCGCGACCGTGGTCCACATCGTCACTGGATTGCCGACTGGTTTCGAGATGGTCGGCGGGCACGTTGGAGGCGATGTCGAGGAAGCCGTCTGCGTAGTTCCCTTGCAGACTAATGTCCCGGCCCATTGAGGCAAGGAAGTGTTGGCGGGACTCATCCATGGTGCCCTGGAAGATGATGCGGCCCTGCGCCATTACGGCGACGTTGTCCAGCAGTTTGCCAACACTGGACCGAGGCTGGTGGAGTGTACATACTACGGTCCTTCCTTTTTGTGCTAGTGTTTTGAGAATGCTCACGACTTCATAGGCTAGCACGGCATCAAGACCGGATGTGGGTTCGTCGAGCAACAACACCGAAGGATTGCCCATGAGCTCCATGGCGATCGAGCACCGACGCATCTCGCCACTGCTAAGTCCCTTCCTCCATGCACCGCCAATCATCGTGTCCTGAGCGTGTGTAAGAGCCAGATCTCGTAAAATCGCGTCCACTCGCGCCCGCCGCTCCTCCTTCGTTGCGTCCGGCATCCTCAGATATGCCGTAAACGTCAACGTCTCCCGAACAGACAAATACGGCAATAAACGGTCGTTCGCGTTTAACAACGCTACCTTCCCCCCCGGGATCTTCCTCGCGCGAGTTTCGTTCCCGTTAAAGTACACACCACCCTCAACCACCTTCCCGCTCGTCGCACGGTCGCTTATCACATTCAACAACGTTGTCTTTCCGCAACCAGAAGGACCCAGAATAGCTGTGACATTACCCGGCGTAGCAGAGAAAGAAACACGCGTCAACAACTCGATCATCCTACACAACGCAACAACGTCAAACCAAAGGCAACGTACCCTCCCAACTGGCTCCAGGTACAGCACCAGCACCAGCACCAGCACCAGGGGGGTACAGCACCAGCACCAGACGGGGGTACAGCACCAGTACCACACAGGGGGGGGGGGGACTCAGCAACTCGGGATGGATGGTTGGGACGTTACCGATCTTTGTTCCATCGTTGCAATAAAGATCTCGGTCGCACTCGATAGGTCAAGTCCTTGACCCCGAGACCAACCCTCTGGTTCAGCGGAATCACTGTGACGTCCTCGTTGGACAACATAGGGTACGAAATTTTTTCCCCAACTATAATGCTTGCCGCCCCTTTTCTGATCAACTAAGCAACTGGGCGGGTCTAAACCCCGGTGGGGCCTGGGGTCTAAACCCCTGTGGGGCCCGGGTCCCGGTGGGGCCTAAACCCGGGTGGGGTCTAAACCCGGGTGGGGTCTAAACCCTCTGTGGGGGGGTCTCAGTTAGTATCTGTATTTTGTGCTGTAGTCTTTTGGACTGATCACCAATCCCCGCCCTTTTCTTGCCCCTCTGTATATTGTCTCGAACACGTCTATGAGCTCCTGCTTGTCGTTCATGGCCCAGTTGATTTTATTGTTATTACCGGTGCCCAAGTCGATCATCATGTGCTTGTTCCTAAGGGGGGAAAGGGTTATGCAAGGGAGATTACCTGTAATGATTACCTATAGAAGAACATGACATTCACTCGGTCATATAGTTCGTACATTGCGTTGAAGTCCGGAACCTGATCGATATCGACTAGATAGATGACGGCAAAGTCTTTAACGTCATGAGCGGCTTTGTATAACAATTCATCCATTTTCATGCATTCGCGGTCCCAGTCATGCCCGAAACGAATTACGACCAGCCGTTCCTGCTCTCGAACAATGGCCTGGTCCACCTGCCAGGCGCTCGTTAAATGAGACAACATATAACTCATCCCGTTGCCGTGTGCTCGTTTCCGCGTGTTCGTTTCCGCGTGTTCGTTTCCGCGTGCTCGTTTTTGCGTGCTCGTTTTTGCGTGCTCGTTTCCGCGTGCTCGTTGCCGCGTGCTCGAGATTAAATTTAATGAGGACAGGGCATGAGGAGGGACACTGGGGCGTCAGTTAATGAGGACGGACACTAAGGATCAACTGACGACATTCCTAAAGAAATATCACGACAGTAATGGCACCCAGAACGGTGACCAAATGTCCCCTATACATTACCTTTAAATCATTGGCAATTGTTTTAACTACAATCGCTTGGTAATCCATAATTCTATCCAAGTCCCTCCGTAGGGAATCAATTCGCTGACTCTGTACGGATGACTCCGTTACGGTATCGGTAGCGATTGATGTACA